CCTTAGCCCAAATTTACTATTATTTTTTATTTTCATTATAAAACTGCTATTTATTTGGGAAGATAAATACGCAGCCTCTGTTTGACATATTTTACCAGCTTATATCGATCAGTGCTGTTTTTTTTTTTGGGAATGTTTTTACACGCAGTTGTTGTAACATCTTAACTGACGTCATTTTGGAATTTTAGAGTTGTGCCAGTTCATATCTCTAATTACTATTTTCATTTTAGGCATGTCTTTGAGTCGTTTTTTGGAAATTTTAAAAATTTATTAGCGTCTCTACATATGATGTTCGGGTGAAACTGTTTCACTTTTTTTATTGTATAGAATTCAAGATTGCTATAGTTTAATATTCAGAATAGATTGATCTGATTCATTTTACATCGTGCTCATACTGATGAAGGATATCTGTTATCCGAAATATTTATAGTTACATTTGTTCGTTTATTGTCATTTTTTGGTGATGTTGTACCCTTTTAGACTGGTTATATATTATATTTTGTAGTGTACTGTATCATATTTATATGATCCATCGCCCCGTAAGATTTATCGTTGGCTATTATTCAGTCATTATATATAGAGTCTATAAGAATCTACCAACCAGTAAACTAAATGTATCGGTATTGTTACACAATCTTTTAGACTATATATATATACACGTCTAAACATGTGTCAACTTAATGACTGAAATTCTCCATCGGATAACACGTTGATATACAGGGATAATATCATAAATGTTTGTTCTTCCCTCAGCGGGATTCGAACCCTTGCTTCTGTGACATCATGACAACACCGCCTGCGCTGTGTCCAGCGCCCTAGACCACTCGACTACCTAGGCTACATTAAAATATAGCTTTCGGTGGTCGATGTAATGCCTTTCCTCGTCGGCTTTATCTAGGGTTGTAACACAGTACATGATATATAGTGGCAAGTAGATGGTGTACCTTTCAGAGCAGCTATTTTGTCTGTCGTAAAGGATGATAATGTTAATTACCATGCCGCCACTTCAAATTCTAATTTTATCATGAACGTTTAAACATGTTACAACTTTATGACAGACATTTTCCATCGGATAACACTTGGTTATACAGGGCTTACACCATAATATATATATAATTCGTCTGAAATTTAGCCCAACAATGTTAGATCTTCAAATTTGCGTTAGCATATATATATATATATATATATATATACATTTATTACATCGGTGATCCGTTTATTTGGCAATCGCCAATGGCAGTCAGCAGGGTTTAAGAACATTTGTTGTTCGACCTGTTAGTCAAATGCGTTTTGTTAAAATATACTTTTTCACTATTTTGGTCTTTTAGAAAATGTTGTTTGTGCTGTATTTAGACCCCTTTAACAAGAAATTTGTTTTGCATGCACACGTATAACAATTGCGGTTTTTATCCAACGCAATCATAGGTTTGAACGTTGTTTTCAATTTAGACTTGTATATATATATATATATATATATATATATATATATATATATATATATAGACTTGTTTATATTTTTTTTGTTTGGGCTTGTATTATATTTGCCTTCGGGTTTATATGATCCGTTCATCCTATTTTGACTCTTCAAAATTCAAGAGTCAATCCCAAATTGAGGTAAATTATATGGCCTTCCAAATACCGTTTCGATTTCTAACATCACTGAAGAGACATTTATTGTCGAAATCCGGATATGGTGTACAAATTTTTGCACCTTATGTTTGCGGTATACCATCTTTTCCGCAAGTTTATTGTTTTCTGTTTGGTATATTATTAATAAATTAAGATCCATTTTTACATCTGGTGATCTGTTTATTTGGCAATCGCCATGGCAGTCAGCAGGGTTTAAGAACATCCGTTGTTCGACCTGCTAGTCAAATGCTTTTTGTTAAAATATACTTTTTCACTTTTTTGGTCTTTTGGAAAATGTTGTTTGTGCTGTATAAGGACCTCTCTACCAAGAAATTTGTTTTGCATGCACACGTATAAAAATTGCGGTTTTTATGCAACGCAATCATAGGTTTGAACGTTGTTTTCAATTTAGACTTGTTTATATATATATAAAAGTCTAAATTGAAAACAACGTTCAAACCTATGATTGCGTTGGATAAAAACCGCAATTTTTATACGTGTGCATGTAAAACAAATTTCTTTGTAGAGGGGTCCAAATACAGCACAAACAACAATTTCCAAAAGACCAAAAAAGGTGAAAAAGTCTATTTTAACAAAACGCATTTGACTAACAGGTCGAACAACTGATGTCCTTAAACCCTGCTGACTGCCATTGGCGATTGCCAACTAAATTGATCACCAGATCTAACGAAGTGGATCTTTAATATTAATTTAAGACCAAACAGAAAACAATAAACTTGTGGAAAAGATGGTATACCACAAACATGAGGTGCAAAAATTTGTACACCATATCCGGATTTCGACAATTAATGTCTCTTCAGTGATGTTAGGGATCGAAACGGTATATATATATATATATATATATGTATTATATATTACTTTATATATGTTTTATCTCCAGTGATTTAGAACAAAATGTAACTCGCTTATAGAAATATTTTTGTTTTGAAATGTTAGTTTTAAATAATTTAGTTAGATAATCCCCTACTGAAAACATGTTTAACACACATTCTTCACAATATAGAAACATGAAATCTTTCAATTCTATTAGTCAAAATTATTATACTAAATTCTAAATAATCATAGTAATATTGAAATTAATGTGCCTGTAGTTTGTTTTATCTGGTTTATCATCCAACTTAAAGGGATAGGCTTTGGTAACCCTAAAATTTCCTCTTGTTTATTTTTTTTTCATATTCACATCGTTGAAAAAGTAGGGATTCTTGCATCATCTGCCAAAGTCTTGTTGAATTTAATATGACAAGTTTTGGGGTACCCTAAAAATACGACTAAAACACTAGTAGGCGTATATCATTGTGTGTTTCTGCACATGTTTTCATTCGGAATACCCTTAACTCTAAAAATGCGTAATAGAAACATATTTTAAAGTAAATCTTAAAAAGCCTGAACGTAAATAAATGGTTTAAAATTGTTGATAAGGCGAAAATTCTGGCTAGCTCAGATAACACATTTATTTTCCAAATTTTGCCAGAAAAAAAAATTTCGTTTGATTCCTTGAAAAAATTACCAAAATAATAATTGGTGATCAAATTGGCTTACAGACACAAGCAAAAAGAAAAACTTTTTGACAAATCTCATTTTTTCCCCTACAAGATATTCTACAATCTTTCTTTGCAATATTTGTCTGTTCTTAAGTGAAAAATATATTGTCCCAATAATAGTTGTAGTCAAGTTCATAAGGAAAAACAGTAATATTCAGTATGGGACGAATACCCTTGGGACGAATTGACATATCATTATTATGTATTGGTTTATCTTTCAAACTAAAAAATGCCCCTATCATCAGTAAACAGATGATATCAAAATTCAATGTTTTGACAGTCTGTCACTATCTCAGTACTATCTTTGTGCTAATAAAGATTTTCTGTTAACATTAGCTTGTACTAGGATGGATGTTCAGATCATATCTTTTAGAATAGTGCCATTTATATTTTAAGTTCAAAGACATATAGTTAAGTACAGCCTATTTAACAATAGAGAAGCACTAAACCTTATTTCTTCTTTATTCAATCCATTTTTTTTCAAATTCAATTTTTCCCAAACTTTCCAAGATTTTATCTGATTGATGTCACAAGTCACTATAGTCGTTCCAAAAACTCCTCAGTACATAGGTGTTTTTTTAAGCATTTCACGTATGAATGGTAATTTTATACCTTTTAAGCTTTTGATTATTGAAGCTTTAAAAAAGTGTAGTTCCTTAATTTAATGCTTGGTGGTGTCTAACTCGTCCAATTTTCCTAGATCTTCCTGCATCATTCTCACAGCAAAATGTAAACAACATAAATGTTTGATCACTGTTTCAATTACTGTTAGGTTTAAACGCACAAATGACTTCCAATACATGTGTTAGAGTCTCCCATTACCCAGGTCTATCCCCTTAAATTGATATACTTATAACATCAACCAGCCGTTGTTTTTTTTTATGAATTGTTTCATAACTTAGACTACGGTATGGGTTCTGCTCATTGTTCAGGACCGTTATATGACTTTAAGCTGCTTAATCCTCGTTCTTTAGTCTCTGTTTGGTAATAATTCCAAATGTTCTATCTTTATTTAAGATATTTGTGAAATAAGTTTACGCAACAGTTTATCGATGTTCAATTCTCATAAATCGATTCAGAAGATACAAACAAGGTAGCATACAAAAACAAAGGGAATCACATGAACCTCAAAAGGAGCGAGACACTTCGATCGTCGACACAATCGGGAATAGGACACAATCAACAAAACAATAGATCATACGACTGTTTTCAGGTATCTAAAGATCTAAGACCGCGAAAGTGAGGTGAGACACTGAGAAATCGTTTCAGTCAACTAGTTCGATAAGGTGACCGTTAAAATTTTGTAGAGTTGAAATCGTTCTTCCTCTTAACTATGTTAAGCAATTTTTTTTGTGAAGTATTAATTGAGATATGTAAACGGCATACGATGGGGAAGAGGGTATGTTAATGATGGGAAATAGAACGTCGACAATTGGAAATTGATAATTTGGCTAGGAATAGTAAAATGCAAATAATTAGAGTTACATGTAGATAGCTTCAAGTTTCAAGATGGTTATTTTTTTTCTTTTACGTCTTTCTTGTTTGTTCGTGTATCTGATTAGTTCCTTTCGATTTATCTCCTATGAATTCTGTCTCCTTTAATCATAGTTTTTTTTTATTTCCCGTTTTGACTCACTTATTGTTATATATTTTTCCTTTTATTTATTTAGCATTATTTCTAAAGTTAAAACATTACTCTCTTACGGCACAATTTTTGTTTTACCTGATTCTGCAAATGCAGGGTTTGATCTATGAGTGTAATGGTATATCAATTACCTTATTGAAAGATTGTTTTCGTTTGTCTTACAGAAACCGATAACCCCTCACTGGGATGGTTGGTATGATGAACTATCAGGCATTTTGCGATATTCTGTAGAGTTATGGAGAATGGAATACAGCGAGGAGAACATGCATCTACGAGAACCACTAATTACAGACACAACAAACCCTGTTCCAGATTACATGCAGGAAGTAAATTTTACAACACCTTTGCAATTTCCAACATTTGATCCCTCGAAACCAGGCGTTTATTCCTGTATCCTTGAGGTTAGTGACAAAGCCAACAACACACAGTATGCAAGAAGATTTGTAATATTTGATAAAACATCCCAGGTGACAACAAGAAATAATAATCCTTTGTATTGCTCATCAGCTTCAGAATCGGCTAATTTCACTTGGCAGACATCTATTAATGATGACAACGGACAAACTAGAATTAATATCACATGGAAAGATCACTTTGTAAATCAAGTGCATGAAGAAGGCCATTTTTTAAGTCCTGTTTCAAGCTATGAACCCAGATTGACCGACGGTGGTCGAAGAATTGATTATAAGAAAATAGATCCTGCTTTTGACGACAATGAAGGTTCCAGGACAAGAAATGCCATCTCAAATCTTAATAGCATAGTACTTTTTGAATTTGCACATCAGATTCCCCCAGTAATAATGAACAGTTTAACCTGGGAAAATTTAAGTCTGACACAAAACTGGTCGCTAACAGTTGCAAATATCAGGGATGGTGATTCACGGCAATTTTTTGTACGAGCCACAGATATCATGGGCAGACAAACAATCGATAGTACAACAATTCACTTTGATTCCACACCGCCCAGTATATTTGAGTCAACCCTTTCGTATAACATAGGAGACGGACAATACAAATTTTCAAGCAGGTAAGAACAATATTCTTTATGATTTTTATAGAAATAACATTTTTCATTATACTGATATGTAGAACGGTTAGTTCATGACTCATGTATTTAAATTTACAGACAACAAAAAAACTATATTTTCTGAAAACTACTAAACAGTACTGGATTGACAACAAGGAACATTTTCGAACAGTGCATAGTAACAACAAAAGCATATCTTAAAAATATATTAATCTCTTAAAAATATATTAATCTCTTAAAAAGATTAGAACGATTGTACATTCAAACTTATATGTTAAATATAGATTCCAAGACTGTACCAAGTGGGTTACAATATTCTCCACTCGTGACAGTTATGTTTCTATGTGTATGTTGGCGTTCGTTTTTGTTGCAGTTCAGTGTTTCTGTTGTTCATTTGTTTTCCTTTTATAGTTGATGTTTTTCCTTGGTTTTAGTTTGTAACCCGGATTTATTTTCGCTTAATCGATCCATGACTATTGAACAGCGGTATACTACTGTTGCCTTTATTTATATTTTAAATTTAAAACGCGATGCTTGCCGAGTTTTGTTAAACATTTAGAATTTGACTGTTGGAAGTGGAGAAAAATCGTAATACACGAGATATAGAGGTGAAACCTGTTTCTCTAATGATTTTTAGGCCATATCTAAACAAAATGTATCCTTCTTTCTCAAAGCTTTGCAGAATGTTGTGTTCTTTATATGTAACGTCATCAGGCATGGTCGTCTTTCTTCATGACGTCACAATAGAATATTCAGAAGATATCAAGAAATGTTACGTCCTAATTGAATTTCGACCAATCATTTTCCGGGAACAAAGTTTTCTCTAGAGAGGAGAATGTTTTTCTCACACCGATCGAGAAATATGAAAATAGCATAAACATTAGAGAAAGTTAAAATCCAAATGTATTTACTCCAGCATCCAAATCAATTCACAACATTTTACTTGATTGCAAATAACTTGGAGATAAAAAGGGAGCTATATAGAAATAAACCAGCCGACACTAGAATGTGTATTTTGTAAATCTGATGAATGAGATAAATTTTTTAAGGGCGTCCCAAACCAAATAAGATTATATGCGTACATTGAACATAAACTTGCAAAATTAATGTAAGCCTCCTTCTGTTAAAATCATCAAATCTCAAACTTTAAATAAATAGATTTTAATTTTCTTAAAAAACTATATTATGTTAATACATAAATTTCTGTTTCAATAATATAAGATAATCATAAAATCACCAAATTTGTTTTTGGAGTATCAACAGACCACCTATTAACTAGTTTATTTCGACGTTTTGTGGTATTGTAACACACCACTCCGAAGGATGTTTACCGTAAACACGAAGTCGGTGACTCATTATTATTTACATCATTTAAACGGAATTGATTTTACCATTATTGTTTTTGCCACAATAAACCTACAACAGGATGACCACTTACTTGAAAAGGGAATTATAGACTGCACATATATTTTGAAAAGCAGTGTCAAAATACGAAGAAAATAGTTGTAAGTTGAGAACCGTCGCTTTGGCAAACACAAAATGGTAAAAAAACAACAGCACTTAACAATTGTTAAAACGTATCATCATAACATCTGATTAAAATATCATGTATGAACAAAATGGTTTAAAATATATCAATTAAACACCGTAGTGAATTCTTTAAATATTATACAATTACTGTCTTTTGATGAGGTAAATATGTGGTTTTATTGACTTTTGAAAAACTGATATTAACTGAGGCCAACGGCAGGTGGTGTTGCCACGATGTCTCAGATGCAGGTTTTTGAATCCCGTTGAGAAAAGAACAAAAATTTGCTGACGCGAATTTGCAGATCTAACATTGTTGGGCTAAATTTGAGACGAAGTATATATAAATTGTGGTGTTAGCCCTATTTAACTACATGTTATCCAATGGAGAATGTCTGTCGTAAAGTTTTCACATATTTAGTCGTTCATCTATAATTAGCTATTGTGTTCTAAAAAAAATTTATGATACCTTTGTTTGAGATGTTCTATCTATTTCATCTTCTTTTTATTTCAACAGGAATACTGTTCAAAAGAACTGTTCCGGAACAGTGAAATGTCTTTTTCATAAAATTTGTTAAGGAACCCAGTATAAAAAGACTAGTTATATATATATTAAGTACGCCTTTTACAAATTGACGGAAATTGTTTAATGCACGTAAAACGTAGAATTAAGTGGATTAAATATGTTAATGAGTAAGGCTAGGCTACATAATATTAATGGACGATGATACATGTCAAAGGTTAGATGCTGACCAATAAAACTTTACTGTTCTTTTCGTGAATTGAATATACCAATCAAATAGGGCAAATAGTGGCGTAATTACCATTTCTCATTTTCAGAAAAATAACACATGCATCAGATTTGTATTTCAGATACATGTTCATGAATTGCCGTGAAACTAATGTAGACGTTTACAGACACGAGAGCCATTCATGTGTTATTAAATAGTTTCTCTTCCCGACAAATTTTTTATTCTATAAGCAATGACTGGTCCAAGGAGGTGGAACCAGACAATGCATTAAGAACTTCTACGATGGAAATTTGAGCACATGTTTAAGCTTCCCCCATTCTTTGCTATTCATATGCTAGGCGGTCAACGTGGTCTATGAAAGTCAATAATCGTTTAAAAAATAAAAACAACACCTTATAAATTTCATGTGTCCGAAGCGCTTTTCTGGATTTACTTTCATCAGGAACGCTCAATGCCAGATATTTGAAAGCCAAGGATGTATAAGAACCGAAACAGTTAATGAGCTGTACGACCAAAAAGGACCTAAAATATAGTCAAATCCATCTAAGGTCAACTTTGCCTGAGGGAGTTGAAACCTTAGTTACTAAATAATTTTAAAATTTATAAACGGACAATTTTAGAAAGGTTTGTTATAAATTATGTCAGTACCAAAGTACTGACTACTGAGCTGATAATACCCTCGGGGACTGATAGTCTACCAGCAGAGGTATCGACCCAGTGCTGTAAAAAATAAAAACAACACGTGATAAATTTCATGCGTCCGAAGCGCTTTTCTGGATTTACCTTCATCAGGAACGCTCAATTCCAGATATTTGAAAGCCAATGATGTATAAGAACCGAAACTGTTGAAGAGCTATACGACCAAAAAGGACCTAAAATATAGCCAATTCCATCTAAGGTCAACTTTGCCTGAGGGAGTTGAAACCTTAGTTTCTAAATAATTTTAAAATTTATAAACAGACAATTTTAGAAAAATTTATTATAAATCATGTCAGTACCGAAGTACTGACTACTGAGCTGATAATTCCCTCGGGGACTGATAGTCCACCAGCAGAGGTATCGACCCAGTGCTGTAAAAAATAAAAACAACACGTTATAAATTTCATGCGTCCGAAGCGCTTTTCTGGATTTACCTTCATTAGGAACGCTCAATTCTAAACATTTGAAAGCCAAGGATGTAAAAATGCGAAGTAATTTTTCACTCTTCATACTTTAGTTTTTCTTGCAAACTTAGAAGCTTTCTTTTCGATCCAAATAACAAAGATTTTGATTTTTTTATATTTAAAATCATATGTTATTTTCACACTATATTCTAAAGGTTGCACTTTGTAAATACAGCTGTTTCACAAACCACGCCTCTGTTGGGAAGATATATATTATTCATAGATATGATATCTATGTTTCATCTCATAGAGACATAACTTTGGAATGTTACCAGTATAATTACACATGGATAGCCGCTAAATGTAATTCCGAGGCAGACCCAAAGTGAAGGGAGGGGTAGTACAGAATTGTAGTATAAGTTTAAACTCTTGGAAATTCGGAGCATATAAATGTTGAAAATATGCCCTTTGTTTTGACCTTTGAAAAATATTGTAGTGCATATGAACTTTTCTTTCTATGATATATTTTTTAACGAAACTTCATAGAAAAGGTTGCACAGTTTTACCGTAAAAGGAGTTCCTATGGGAAATTGCATTGTCTATATTTACAGAAGTGAAACCTAAAGGTTGCCATCTCGTCATTAAGATTGTCACATAAATAGAGGCAACAGTAGTATACCGTTGTTCAATAGTCATAAATTGATTGAGCGAAAACTAATCCGGGTTACAAACTAAAACCGAGGGAATCACCTATAAGAGGAAAACAACGGAACAACAGAAACACTGAACTGCAATAAAAACAAACGCCAACATACATAGAAACGGACTATTTCATAACATCTGCCATATTCCTGACTTGGTACAGGACATTTAAGAAAACATGGTGGGTTGAACCTGGTTTTATGGCTAGCCAAACCTCCCGCTTATATTTTTTAAGTTAAGGTGAGGTGGAAGATCATTAATATATAAATAATAAAGGACCAAGAATACTGCCTTGCTGTACATCAAATTTTACTTTTTATCCTGACAATACGTTGTTGTTCTTATCACTTTTTGAGACCTGGTGATAAATATGATTTGATCCATCGAAAAAGAAAGAGTATCAAACTTGACCATCTCATACTTGGTATTTTTTTTTTGATAATCAAATTGAGTGATTTACAATATCAAAGCTTTTTTAACATCTAAGAATACAACTTTAGTATCATTTCATCGATCCATGTTTATTAACAGTTCTTCAACCATTTTCGTTAGAGCTGAGTGACAGGGATGGTCGTGTCTAAATCTAGGCTGGTACTTATAAATCAAGTAAAATTTTATCAAATATTTTGGAATTGGGAATAAATAATCTTTAAAAAAATCTTTTAAAAAATTGGACTTACATATATTGGTCTATGGTTGTTTATATCTTTTACGTCGCCACTTTTATGGATTGTTGATACTCTTGCACATTGAAAGTTCGATGGAAATATACTTGTGCAAAGGCTTAAACTAAAAATATGTGCAACAATTTCATTGATTATTGGAACACTTATTTTAAGAATTTTAGGACCTAAATCATCAAGACCCGTAGATTTTTAATTTTAACTTTTAATAGTTAATCAAAAACATCTGTTGGAGATAACAATAAAATTTAAAATAGTTTTTACCAACTCTTTTAACTATGGTGATTTCTATTTTTATTTGGATGTGGAATAATTGATTCACAAACAGTACCAAAATGTTCATTGAACTGTTACAAACTTTTTCTGGATTATTGACCTCAGATCCTTCAAAATTAACACCTAATATTGGCCATTTTAACTCTGTATTTAATTCTTTGAGGTGTTTCCTGATTTTACTAGTATTTGAAGTAGACTGTACAGCCTTGGAGAAATAGTCAGTCTTATAAATATTTATATGGGAGGATAGTTTGTTTCTATATAACTTTTTTAAAATCCTTCTTGTTATGATAAAAGATTCGTTTTGCACACAGTGGATTTATATCTTCATATAACTACCTCGTATTAGACTTTTTTCTCATTCTCTTTGCTATATCTATAAACATTTAAAAAGATACAATCTAAGAGTAATTGAGGTTAGGAATAAATGATACAATGAATCAACCAACCACCTTACAACTATTAGGACCATCCAATGAAATGGTTTTACATGTACTACTGAAGTATTTGTTATTAACAAGAGTAATATTGAACTACATAATTCAAATGAAAGGTAGTGGTTTTACATTTTCACTTAGGTTCACTATCAAAGCAAATGACCAGGACAGTGGCGTACCTACGGTTAAAATAAGAATAGTTACAAAGTCTGGGATTGAAAAATACAAGCATGAGTATAAAAATCCTGTTGTTTTGGTACGTATGATCGAAATATGTTGTCCTATCTTTGAATGCTCTTTTTGTATGACTCACAATATTACAAATACATAAACATATCTTTTCCCTAAACGGTATTCTCTTTTCCTAGATATATTCAGAGTAGCATGTTTCAGCATTATAACGATGTGTTAGTAACTCTTTTAAATCGATAAAATGATACCACAAACGCTAGATGTATGCAACGATTATGATTTAAGACTGTTCGAATTAGATGAAAAAGTATGACCTAAAATTCAGAACTCGAAGGTAAATACAAAAAGGGGAAGAACATAATACCTGACAAAACCGAACGGTCGACTATAACAATTAACTTGGTACAGGCATTTTCAAAAGAAAATAATATCGTATGAAGAAGAAAAAAATCGGCAGATGAATAGGCCCTTGTCGACGTCATTTTGTTTTACTTTGAAAAATACAATAATGTATTTTATGGTATAATCAACTTGAAGACTTTCATTTGTATCACGATTTAAACTCTCCTATTGTCTTATGTAACTTGACTGTTTTTAAAAAATGGTTTTGAAACATTTTCTTTAATTTAATTGGTTGACAATGACAATTTTTTCTCCTGAAGCAGTAGATAGAGAACTCATTTGTAAACACTAAGAATTGCTTTGCTGTGAAAATATTTTTTATAAATTATATTTTTGCTTTTGTTCTTTAACTCGTTTCTTTGTGTTTGTTTTTAAATTTGAATCATGATCAATATCATGAGTTTTGTACATCTTTAAGAAGTCAAAATGATTCAAAGTACAACGTACATATGTATGTAGGTACGGTAAAAATAAAGTCATCACAGCTTTATTGGACACTAGGAAACCAGTTTGTAAAGATATATAAATAAGAAGATGTGGTATGAGTGCCAATGAGACAACTATCCATCCAAGTAACAATGTGTAAAGAGTAAACAATGACAGGTCAAAGTACGGCCTTCAACACGGAACCTTGGCTCACACCGAACAGCAAGCTATAAAGGGCCCCAAAATGACTAGTGTAAAACAATTCAAACAGGAAAACTAACGGTCTAATCTATGTAAAAAACGAGAAACGAGAAACACTTATGAACCACACCAACAAACGACAACCACTGAACAACAGGCTCCTGAATAAGGACAGGTGCATAAAAATGCAGCGGGTTTAAACTTTTTTATAGGCGCCAACTTTCACCCTAACCTGAAAACATTACAACATAAAAAGACACACAATAAAATATCAATTGAAATGGCTTAACTCGATCAAAAAGACAATACACAAAAACAAGTAAATATACACTGAACGAATAAGTTTGATCTATGACATAATATAAATAAAAAAGATGTTTCATTGTCAAAAAGACAACTTAAACCTAGGACAACATGGCGTTAAATAAAGTAACGTACACAGGTAAATTAAATATTATACTTTTGTTGTTAGGAGTACAGAATCATTTTTTACCAAACAAATTTGTTATTCATAGTACGAGTACAGAAGTGAAAATATTTTTTCACCGTCATATTAAATACTTATAAAGATATGTCTATTTTGCAGGACACGAGCACGTGTCCGTCCTGCTATAAGGATAGAATAGGAAATTCGTATAGTGCAAGTATGTCGTTTGATATCAATAATTGCTGGATGGGAGTTGGAATTGAAGAAACCAATACTGAGATGCATACATTGGAAATAGGAGCATACAATGGAGCTATGTTAGCAGCAATGCAAATAGAAAATGTATGTATATGAAATTCTGCTTGATGTTTTTTTCTGAAACCATTCTTCTTTCCCATGCATAACACTTGTCATTTATTTAGATAAGCGGGCTTAACATTTGTTGTCCCAACATTTGGATTATGTTTTAATTTCAAAGTAAAAGGAGATTATGACGCAAATTAATTGACATTCATAATCAAATAAACACGTTTTAATCATCACGTGTTTGGTTTTTTTTCCTTGCTGTATTTAGATTATACTTATGTTATGTGCTCCTGTATTCGTTGTCTTTTCATTCAGATTACTCAATGCATTTTAAAACAAAATAGACCACTTTCGAGTTCGTTGCATTTCCGTCAAAAACTTTGGTTTTAGTGAACATTATTCGTGCGTTTCGGGGCATCGTCACTTCCTTCCCATGTTGAGCAGGTGGTTGAAAAAATGTAATGCTGTATTGCACGAATTATTCGGCAAATTAAATTCGTATAATTGATAATCATCACTGCTGTCATTGGGGAATTGTGATAAAGTACCTACGGAGCAAACATTATTTCAAGTTTATCCTGCATAATGACGATCACGAAGACGCTTGATGAACTTTAAATAGTGCAGGGATACAGGCGATCCCCTCTATCTGCAGGTAAATGACGTGATAAAGGCGTTCATAATTGACGAAATTTTCCGGTGAAGGACATAACTCGAAAGTTGTCTATTATTTGAACCTTTTTTAAACACATTGTCAAGAATATTAACCAGTCAAGGTCATTGTAAATAAAAGCAACAGTAGTATACCGCTGTTCAAAAGTCATAAATCGATTGAGAAAAAAAAACAAATCCGGGTTACAAACTTAAACCGTGGGAAACACATCAACTATAAGAGAATAACAACGGAACAACAGAATCATTCTGAATCCTGTATTGTTCCCGTATTTTGAGGTGATAAGTGTAAGTAATGTTTGTCCCGTTGATTGTCATGTTTAGGTGTCATTAGTGTAATTATAAAATGTGTACGAATATTTGACGTCAGGGCAAAGGGAAAAGACAATATAATACACTGTGGATGGTATATATTATACACACCTATTTGTTGCAAGTGTCAATAATCAAATTATTTGCCTGGTATTATAAATTCAAATATCTATGAACGCCTCTGGTAAAAAAAAAAATTTAATTCGCCTTAATTCTGGGGAATTTTTTTTTTATCTCGACAAATTGTATTAAGTCGTATTTATCTGTTTATATACAAGATAAGGTTAATGTCAAACAAAAAATTAACTTTTTGTATGAGGATTAGAAACTGGGAATTGGGTGGGGTTGCCCAGCTCTTCAACTGTTTCGTACCAAATACAAAAAAGATGATATTTTCTTACATTGACCAAATATTGATTTTATACTGCAGCTACAAATGTAAAATAGCTATAATTGAAGTTAGGAAAATGTTTGTAACACAAAAATAAATCCGAATTTTCAACCCCTAAATAAATCTCTTATATTTGACAATTCTGTTCGTAATATATTACGGATTACTGCATGCAGTGCTAGCAATTACTTTCTTAAATAGTTTAAAAATATATAAGGGAGCTACCATTTGATTTTTATGGGGGTAATGATGAAAAATTTTGTCCTGCCTTTTTATTTTTCCCTCTATTCGGTCCTACCTTTTTATTTTTCACTCTATTCGGTCCTGCCTTTTTTTGCAAATAATCTCAACCTGCCTTTTTTTTACTCAAAACTCCTGTCCTGCCTATTTCTTTCAAATTTCATCCTAGCCCCCCTCCCCATAAAAATCAAATGGTAGCTCCCTAAGTTAAAACATGTACAAATATGGACCAATTCCAGTACACGTTCTAGAGTGCGCTTGATTTGAGTGACGCAATACGAGGTTTTGTTTGATTATGATGGTTGTTTAGGACTTTTTGTAAACAATAAACGCCAGCACAACATGGATAAACTAGTGCGTAATCTAGGTTTCCAATTATAACGAAAGTCTCTGTGGATTATCTGTAAAAATCTTAGCTTGATCTGCCCAAAATCATATTTCCTATTCAATTAGACGATAAGTATGATTTCAGTGAACGACGTTTCCTTTTGGTATACATGTACAAAATGGCACGTCTCTTTCAATCATTACTGTTACTGTTTTGATATTTTTACACTTTGAAAATTTCATAATGAATTGGCCTACAGAAGGGGTCATAAACCTTAGGTACTCTTTGTATCACTGTAGAGATATGTTTTTTTTTTATTTCTTGATTATTATCGTAACCCCCCCCCCCCCCCCCCCCCCCAAAAAAAAATGTTTAAACCGGTGTGAGAAATGATGAGTGCGGTAAAAAAGTAAAGTAATCTCACAAGACCTATAGTTTGTTTACGTTGATAACCAAACTTATCACGAATTAATTCGAAACAATAATCGTACATTTTTAAATATTTTATCTGTTTAATTTTTTTATTGTTATTACAAGCAAATTCATACTGTCTTCCTTTTCTTTATTTATTACTATAATTACACAAGAAGCTTGTTATACTATATGCTGCATTTTGAAAGTGGAAAAAATCATGTCCTTATTAAACTAAGTTTTTTAAAAGGAATCTCCATACTTTTCTAAACTAAGTATCCGAGGCGCACGCCATTGTCGTAAAAACTATCAATATAAAATATTGTATAGTGCGATTATAAACGTTTTGCGTGTTTTAAGCTTCAAAATCAAAGAAAAATATGTATAGCTTTGTATTATTTCGGTTATAATTCACAGCTAATTTTGTTTGCTGGGTTCCAATCAGTTGTATACTCGATTATCAAGGTTAATTGATAAATCATTTAACCAAAAAATGTTGATGGCATCTGTAGGATCAAAACAGATTGCTACTAAGGTTCACCTTAATGAAATAAAATTAGCTAGACCAAAGAGATTTTTCATACATGACACCCTCCCCCTTAACTAAGGTAAAATGCTTCCGTGTGGTTATCCTTACAAATAAAATAAGTCAAACTTGAACAAAGCAAATGTGTACAGGTTATAGTGACTTTGTTAAATTGCAGCTAGACAAAATAAATGATCCAATACTGACCGATAACAATATTTGCTTTAAAATATTTAATTTGCTAATATGTTAAAAAAATACAAGACAAGTGTGAACAAGAAAAATATAAGTCTCAAATATGGAGTATTATAGTTTCTTTCATAGCTTCTTGTTTAGACCTAAAGGTTTCTCCCTGTATATTCTGGACTGTCATTGACTGAACATAAATAATATTGATCAAGACCGATTGTAACTGATTCTCTGCCACAAAATGCGGGATATAATTGACTTCTCTTTAAAAGATCGAAAATAAATGTTTCTATACTTAAAACATGAGTACTTCTATGTAAAAAAGGTGTAACCTCAAAGACCACGAACTAATATAAAGTATGTGGCACCACTACAGCCTCGTACATCCCTATGGAGTTTCGGTCTCGCCACTACTCTCTGACATACTTCAAGTTTTTGTGAGTCATGATCATTTTGCTGGATTTGAGATGTGGAAGATTTGACGATAGATGTCATATATAAGACAGGATACGCTAAACCGTTTGCAGCATATAATCTTTCTGTGGTTTTTTTTTTTAACTTTTGTGTTGTACTTTTTTAGTCATGTAAAATAAATGCTCCATTTTGAATATTTCAGATAAGAAGGAACTTAAAGAATTTTTCATGCAGTATGTAGTTCTTTCGTTAATATTCGTTGACGTTTTTTAGCTCACCTGGCCCAAAGGGCCAAGTGAGCTTTTCTCATCACTTGGCGTGCGTCGTCCGTCTCGTCGTCGTCGTCGTCCGTCGTCCGTCGTCGTCCGTCGTCGTTAACTTTTACAAAAATCTTCTCCTCTGAAACTACTTGGCCAGATAAAACCAAACTTGGCCACAATCATCATTGGGGTATCTAGTTTATAAAATGTGTCCGGTGACCCGGCAAACTAACCAAGATGGCCGCCATGGCTAAAAATAGAACATAGGGGTAAAATGTAGATTTTGGCTTATATCTCTGAAACCAAAGCATTTAGAGCAAATCTGACAGGATTAAAATTGTTTATCAGGTCAAGATCTATCTGCCCTGAAATTTTCAGATGAATCTGACAACCCGTTGTTGGGTTGCTGCCCCTGAATTGGTAATTTTAAGGAAATTTTGCCGTTTTTGGTTATTATCTTGAATATTATTATAGATAGAGATAAACTATAAACAGCAATAATGTTCAGCAAAGTAAGATCTACAAATACGTCAACTTGACCAAAATGGTCAGTTGACCCCTTAAGGAATTATTGTCCTTTATAGTCAATTTTTTACAATTTTCATAAATTTTGTAAATTTTTGTAAATTTTTACAAAATATTTTCCACTGTAACTACTGGGCCAAGTTCATTATAGATAGAGATAATTGTAAGCAGCAAGAATGTTCAGTAAAGTAAGATCTACAAACACATCACCATCACCAAAAAACAATTTTGTCATGAATCCATCTGTGTCCTTTGTTTAATATGCACATAGACCAAGGTGAGCGACACAGGCTCTTTAGAGCCTCTAGTTTAAAGTCGTGTTTGTTTGGTCCCTGTTTTTGTTGAGGTAGTTTTGATGATATTAATGATGGTAAAGGGGTTAATGTGGAGTTGAAATACTACAGACGGTTAATTTGTCTGTTGACGTGTTTATACTTTTATCAAACATTGTAGTGTTTTATGTAACTTTTTATATATTCTTAGTTTTCTATTCATGTGGTAGTACTATTTACATACTTAACGAAGTATTTTTCAATTTTATGGAAAAAGTGCTTGCATTAATATATGTGGTGGCTATGATTTGCTGTACCAAGAAATCATAGAAGGCTTGATATAGAGTAATTAATTCTACCGACCTGTATAGAAGTCGAACAAAGATGGAGTTGCCCCAAAACAAAATCACCTTCCTCATAAACCATACATGCAATCATTCAAGGAAAGATCGACAAACGTTAGTTTATCCGACAGTAAGAAAATCGCAAGGAAAAAAGAGTAGAAGAAAAGAGAGAAAAATGTATCAAGTTTATACGATTTTTGAACTTGCAAATGTAATTATCGATTTAACATCGTAAAATTTTTTAATATTGTTTTTAATTGTACATATTTAGCTTTATCTATTCAGTTTTGTTTTTATTTTCAAAAACAAAATAGAACAAAACTGAATAGATATTGCTAAATATGTACAATTATGGTTACTCATGATCATTAATGCTGTCGATGCTCATTACTTATATGTTTGCATTACACAAGGTCATGAGTTTCTCAGACGCTTTATGATGTCTTTACACTACATCCGCTGGATATATATACTAGTCGATTCTTCAATATGTGGTGCGGGATCTGCTCAATCTTTCAGAGCACATAAGATCACCCCGGAACTTACGTTGCTAATTCTTGAGTTTTTTCTATGTTGTGTATTGTAGACTGTTTTTCTTGTCATTGATTTTTGTTTTTGTCATGGCATTGTCAGTTTGATAAGGACTTATGATTCCGTTTTGTATTTTCCTCCTCCCTTTTATCTTTATAATACACATCAGTGGCTCTCATATTAAATCAGTTGTAAAGCCAAATCGAATACAAAGGTAAAGGACATTAAAAACCGAAAACTCCAAAGAGTTGTGCCATAGACGGCTATGGCAATCTGTTCTGGGGGAGAAAAGACCTAAATGTTTCGAATATTTGATCATTTTAGAAACAGCAAATTAAAAGAAAATGTTAAATTTTCTTATATTGTTTGGAAACTTATTGTTTTTGCTCAGTTCTTCTTATTATTTTTTTATTATTATTCCTCTTCCGCTGCCTTTTCAAATAAACTTGTCCGGATCCGTTCTCCAAAACCGCTAGTCAGATTTACTTAAGGTTCCACAATATGTTAGACATACATGTTTAGTGGGGCAATCATGGTTTTGTTTGTGCATTGGAGTCTATAAGGGGTATTTTGAGTAGCAAAAAGAAGGGAGGGGTTTACCTTAGAACCCTATGGTATTTTTAATTTTTTTTTTTAAATGATTATTACTTGAACAGTTAGTGTCAGTAATGACCATGGGAACATATGACCTACTTTCAGGTTAAATGGTCAATGGTCACTTATAGTAAGTAAGTAAGTAAGTAATTATTTATTATAGTGACATGTGTATCATTACATACATTTATACAAGTATATACATAGTAATTTGATATTTACAGCCGGCCCATTGGACCCATATGTCACTTTAGCAATATTATATCATATTCGAAGAACGTAAAAGTTTACAAAATAGAAATATAGAATTAGGCGTAAAGTTTTTTTTTATATGAATGAATGCTCAATTTACAAATTTTGCAGTTGGAATTTGATAGTGTTTCAGTAAATGAATAAGTATTTCGCTATCGTCACTAAAATTGTCTGATGCGGCCATAGGTAGATATTAAGCCTAAGTTTATCATAGCATTGTCAGTTTAACAGAAAATGTTTTTCGTCTTCAACCTCGTGTTTTTCACACAATACACATATTCGGTCCGGTAGCGCCTCGTTACGGAACCTCTCAGTCTCAATGCGTATTGGAAGAATTCCACATCTTAATTGGGCAAGAACCGATCGTTCTTGTTTTGACAGATTTGATGTGATATACTGTTCAAGTTCGTAATTTTCTTTGAAGGTCACAATGTTCGTAGTTTCGGTGATAAAGCGGCGTTGTCTTTCCATTCACTCTCAGCATAACGTAAAAGTTTTTCTTTAGCTTCTTGTATGTTCACTGTTTGTTGGGTTTCATAGAGGTTACTTATTCCACGTTTGTAAAAGATGTCCATAACTTGTGTGCACCATAATCCATTAGACTGATACTCCCACTCGAAAACTTTTTTCGTGAGCCTCTCGTAGTCTATAAGAATGAGACGGTTCCACAGGCGTACCATATTAAACCAATGTCTCTGATTTGGTGGTAACCAGCAAAGTTCGCTGTTCAAGGCTATAGTAGGTGCAAACCAATGTAAACCACATTATTAACGCACTGCTCTATTTTGTATCATATCAATGCCATGAAAAGTATTGTAGCCCCAAACACCAGAGCAATAATCTAAAACAGGGTGATACAGAAGTAAAACACAGTTTGAAAGGTTTTAAATCCAATTTCTTTGTATGAATGTACTTTAGAAATAGCAGCACCAGGCGTTCTCCCACCAGCTTTGGCAAATGCATCCATGACCTTTGACCTTGCCATTTTTTTTTTTTTTTAATTTCCGCAAAATATTTTTAAAATTTCAATTGGAGAATCTTAAAATTAAAAATGTTCTACATGATAAAGCCAATTGATAACAGGTAAGATTTTAGGGGTTTATACTTATGTGGACTTTGTTTGGGAGACTTCGTAACAGCATCCTGTAATTATAACTTCTTGTTTTAAGTGAGATTATCGAGAGCAGGATAAAGCCTTTGAACGAATGTCAATTGATGTTAAAACATTTATTGAATTCTATTTAATGTGATTAGAGATGTTTACTCTAATTGCAAAAGAAAAGTATTTATTTTTTTGTTTACTATATATGTTTGCCTGATTCACAGCTAATCAGACGTTGATTTACGTAACAACTAAATGAATTATTTATTTATAAATGAAGATCGTCGAGAAGAATCTATTTATTTATTCTTTTAATCGCAGTTAAATTCAAGCTAATATTAATATATGCCATCAAACACAATTCTATTGAAAACAAAAAATACATTAAATTATTACTAAATACAACTGAAACTCTTCAGGTATAGTTTTGTTTTATTTATAAATTGGAAATTTTATCCGGAGGACTTAGTTTTTGGTCTGTTGTCCTAGACGATATTTTTTAAATCAAAATTACAACTCATTCATGTTTTGTTTTGGTATCATAATAGAGATATTTCCATTCTCAATTTATTCATTTTATTCATAACCGTTTTGTATATTAACCTGTGCCTACGTTAAACGTACTATAATACAAAACACTACCTCCTCCTTCAAGGCAGTGAAAGTGGTCATCAAATCCTTGCTTTTTTATACTCCAATATTATATGTCTTTTTTTAACATATTTTAGATAGCTGACGTTAAAAGTTTAAAAGGAATTCAACAATGTAAGTTTACTTTTTATACAAACAAACAAATCGAGTTCCAAAAGGCCTCATACTGTGTCGAGGAGCTGATAGATAACAGGGCAGAAATTTACAATTTGTTCTTGCTGCCGGGATCAGGGCAGCAGAATTTAGACAACTCATTCTGTATTTGTAAACACATGCAATATGATAAATACTGCTCGGAAGGAACAATATTCATAAACAAATCTGATAACCGGTTGATAGGATTGTGTTTGTGCGTTTTTTAAAGACAGTAACATTACTTTAAAATTTTGAAACTAGCATACCGTCAGTGGACTTGATAAATAAGGGGCAAACTTATCAACATCTTTTTAAACATAATGACGTCGTAAAGACATTCAACCATTTCAAATTGAAGATGACATATTCTGTAGATATACATATTGATTTTATTATTCTTTCGATTTAGATTTTGGTGTTCAGAACCTAACAATTACAAGCATTTCTGATACTAGTTTTCAACTTAAATGGGTGCAACCGGAAACTTGTTACCAGCTTCTTGGATTAAAGTTAATGGTGAGCGATGGCCAAAATAGAACAACAGAACACAAAATTTTTAAATCTGCGAGAACAGTTTATGTTGGGAACCTCAATCCATCAACATCCTACACGTTTCAAATGTTTACAAAATATGGACCCAATGAGGACAACTTTGGTATGAGTGATCCAGTTGGAAGTTCATTTTCAACAGCAGCTAAACGTAAGTTATATTATTGGTTACTTTTGTGCGTTAGGTTTTAATTTTGTCTACTAAGAAGATATGGTAAAGTTTATAAACACAAAACTAAAATTGTTGATAAATATCAATCATTAGTTATTACATAAAATATACATAGGAGATATGGTAAATTACAAAAATTAGTGTTTTACTTTAAATTATTTACTGAAAATCTTTAGCTGTAATTTTTTATAGATTATTCTTTTTTATAGTATGTCTTAGTGCTTCATACATATGCTTTTAGTGTTAACAAGATACATATATATGCGTTAATGTGGTGCTGAATTTATTACAATTATATTTGCATGCTGCATGCCTTATTTTATTTGTTATGGTATATGTTTTTATATTCGGTGAAAAGCTAATTAGAGCTCACGTTTAAATTGTGTGTTAATATGTCAAATCAAAATAAAGTTTTACTTACTAACTTTACATGTTTTAAAGAAATGGACATTATTCAAGAATGTTTTTGGATAATAAATAAACGACGTTTTTTTTGGTTTTTTTTTTTTGGGGGGGGGGGGGGATGTCCACGAAATACAAGACCGGCTTAAAGCATGAAGATATCGGATTGGAGAGAGAGAATGGGTACCTATTTTGTTAATTCGACCTCTCCTACCACTTTCAACACTTCACAGATATGAATGTATGTTTATTGTAGTTGTGTACCTGCTATTTTGGAAAGGTTTGAGAAATCTGTACCTTTTCCCTCAGACTTTAGACCTTTTTCAACAATATCTAAAAAGGCAGTATCTTTTATTTTGTAATCAACCCTTACATTTTCAACACTGATCATTAAAACTTCATACACTATTGATATGTAACTCAATTCCTCCTAAAGATGGAATGCTACTATATTTAAAAATAGTCCTTTGTGTTGATCGACAGATCACACAAATATGTGTATCTAATTAATCTCTGTTTTATTAGATCATACTCACCTCTTCTCGTCCAATGGAAAATCAGTATTTCCGCTTCTATTTTTCATATAGTACATGGCACTATGAAATGCTATACATGAATGACATTGTATTGTAGACCAGTAATGAACTCTTAATAACTGCTCTACCGAAGTGTACAATCCCATGAAAGTAGCAAAAGAAAAAAATACTTTTGTGTGTCTAATTATAGTAAAAGAAAACAAGAGAATAAAATTCTTAAAACATTTTCGCTGAGTTTTGAATTTTGCATACATTATATAATGGTTAATATATGGAATGAAATAAAATGAAAAGGGGACAAATATTTAGGTAACATTATATTAAATCTGATGTTTATACAAGACATTAGAGTCAATGTTTTTAAAGAAACAATGACTGTTAATATATGAAGCAAAGGAAATTATAAAAATAAATACATTCATCAATAAAAAAGTAAGCATCTGAAGTTGGAACGATCGTTATTTTTATATGTATTGGAAAAAAAATCCATTTGTGTACACTTTATTCATTTTGTCATCATAAAACTATCTAAATGCAATTTCCTGGCATCTGTTGAAATGACTATCTAATATGATTCACTTTCCTTTTATTAACCATGTTAACACTTAAAACTAACCCATATTATTAGATTTTTTTGTATTCCAATGAGAAAGGATAATTTTGTAAAGTCACTCTTTTAAGGTGTGAATATATATGTTCTAAAATGGTCAGACAATACTTAGTCATGTTTTATGAACATTTAAAACCCTCGGCTATGCCTTGGGCTTTAGATATACATAACACATGACCAAATATTGTCTAACCTATACATAATTAATTTTTTTTCCTTGAATGTTCTCCAAATTATGTGTATTTTAGTTTGTTGTACTCGTATTTATTTGTTATAGATTCTCTATGAGTCAATCAAGTTTATGTATCTTAATACACTAGATTAATTTTTTGAGTGTATTTTCACAATCAGTGATTTTTATACACAATAAAAGTTTAACCTGCTTATTTTGTCATCAAATCGCGAAAAAAATCGCGGAAAAAAAAACCAATATACGGTATCAGGGGATTGTTTATGTATTTCCAATTGGTCAAGCATTGGGAACCAACACCAAGAATTCCAAGTGTTGAAGCTGGAATCATCCCTTCAAAAAATTTACGGATACCGTCACGAGTTGGTTACGGAATATAAATGTTTCACGGATGACGACGGATATGTTCCAATTGTTGAAACCACAATCCCGTCCACTTTCCCGCGAATGTGACCTACAGAATAAGACTTATTGCCGGATTTGTACTTACATGAGCAAGACGACGGGCGTCATATGTGAAGCACGATCTGTTCACCCTTCCGGAACACCTGAGATCACCTCCTGTTTTGCTGAGGTTTTGGTTGGTCATTTCTAGTTTTATATGTTGTGTTTTGCTAACTGTTGTTTGTCTTTTAGCCGCTTTCCATTTTTAGCCATGGTATTTTCAGTTTGGTTTCGACTTATAAGTTTGAATATAACTTTGGTATCTCTCGCCTCTTTTCCCAATTTCCTAGACTTAATAACTTATTCATTTGCAGCAAAAGATAGAATAGCTTTTGTGTAATCAACGCCTCCCTCAATTTTCACCCTATATCCTTGCAATTTCATAGAATGTTTGTTAACCTTATGATTTTTTTATTATGGTTTTATCATGGAGTTGTTTAACCATTTTTTCTTTCTTTACATTTTATAATTCTGTGTATTTAGAAGTTCGTTGTAGACCATTTTCCATTGATTAAGAAAAAAAAACGATGCAACCAAGGTATTTGAGTCTGTTATCCATGTTGTAGTTTGTGTGTATTTTATGAACGTATACATTCATGATTATTTCAATTCATTTTCAGGGGAATCATCTTTATCGCCTGGTGGCATAGCAGGCATCGTTGTCGGTAAGATTGGGTACATTGTATTTTGTAACACTTTCCTTTGTGTTTCTTTGATAACACTGTTTTACTTTTTTTAACGTTAGACTAACTGACTATCGAAATTTGGATTTTGTTTTCACTTATGTTATCTAGTCCTGTTTGAAAGTGTCTAAACGTAAGTATAATTATATAACGATACTACAAACCCTTAGGATGACTTATGTCCAAACACTTTCCATATATTAACAAAAGGTAAAAAATTGTACATTTAAAATATTCGACTACAAATAACAATAGATATAAGAAGATGTGGTATGAGTGCCAATGAGACAACTCTCCATCCAAGTCAAAATTTATAAAAGTAAACCATTATAGGTCACAGTACGGTCTTCAACGCGGAGTCTTGGCTCACACCGAACAGTAAGCTATTAAGGGCCCCAAAAAATTACTAGTGTAAAACCATTCAAACGGGAAAACCAACGGTCTAATCTATATAAAAAACGAGAAACGAGAAACAAGCCTACTGACAACTCAACGTTCTTCATTTGATCTTCATGAATTTTTAAACTGAAAGACAATTTTTCTTTCAATTTTCCGTATTTTTGGTACAGTTTGTGACAATTATTTCGAAATTGCCAATTATGAACACTTTTCGTGATAACTTTTCTCAAAACAAAAAGAAGTTTAGGGTTAATATAACAGAGATATTGTGCGACCCTGCTATAACAAATGTTTTTGGGTTTAGCTCACAGTCTCAAGTTTATAAAACATCAATCGGGATTCAAAATATCATTACTAATTAACATTCAAATATATGAACAATGTATGTGAAAAAAAACAATATTAATAATACATTTTAATATACGACAAAGCCCAATATACTAGTAAATGTTTCATTCGCTACGAAACACTTCAATTCGACGTCCGAGTATTCTCTCCTAACTAACCTCCTTTTATTTATTATTTGAATAACATATTACATATAAAATTACAAAATTTACTTGAAATTAACAAAATATTTAATAATATGTAAGTATTTAAACATGAAATTGAATGTGAATATACTTTAGAACAAAGATAATGACAACAGATTATAAAGTAGGTATTTATAAACGTGTTATAATCATATACATGTTGTTAAATCCTTTCGGATTAAAATGACTGATATAAAAGTAAGAGAAAATGTTAGATGATAGTTAAATAAAATAAATTAAAGGAAAAGTTTTTTTTTTTATAATTTGGTATTAGAACTACCAGTAAATTGAAATTTATCCACAATCACAGATTTCCTCCCTGGTCGAATGAGAATGTCCCAAGAGTCTGCTTGTTACTGCTGTCATTTCAATGTCATATTTCCTCAAACATACTGCATGTCTTATATTTTGGAATAGCCTGCAGTGGGGAAGTCCTCTTTTTTTACAATCTGGCTTTTATCGATGTCGGGAAAAATATTTTTCAAGCCAAAATAACTTGCTTTAGCAAATGTTTAAGAGGAATACCTCACATTCTTAGTTAATAAAACACCAATTAGGATTCCAAATATTATGTTAGATTTATAACTTGCTTCATGCACCGAAATGGCTTTCCTCATTGTAGAAGGCCGTACGGCGTCATATAGTAGCTTATATCTACCTCATTTGGTCTCATTGGCAATCATACCACATATCCTTATTATAATTGATTTATTGTTGGTTGTTCGGTAGGTGAGATGTTTGTTATTTTTTTTGTTTATCTCAATAATAAATGTGTGTATCAAATGAAAGAGGAATGACTAGGGAGAATGTTAGAAGTCTTTGACTTATTCTTGTGAATAATAAAAATAATGCTTGCAATTTGAATATGAAGGCATCTTTTGCCTGGTTCTGAGTCCTGAATTACCTGTGTTTGGTACTTCTAAAAATCCGAGAATATGTACGCATTTCTGTGGAATTAGACGTATGTTAATTTTTCAACACAAGACACGATGAGGTATTGTTTTAACATGTCACTTGGTTCGAACTTTAGACAAAAGAGCGATGGCTCCTTTTAATTGAATAATTTACATAGTAACCTATTGGACAATGCATCTGTAGTTTTATCCCTGCGAAAAACAAATTCAACCCCTAGAATATGTTGGTCATATATGTACTATATGTTAAATCCCCCCTCAAAACTGTTTAATATAGATATGTATTATCCTTATACGAATACAAGTAGCATTTTGACTTGAAATTTCAGCATCATCAATATACTTTCATATTTCAGGATTTCTTTTGCTTATTGTAATTTTCATTATCATACTGATCTTATTGCACCGAACTGGACGACTAACGAAGGCAAAGGAACAGGTTAATACTGGGTTTACCAAGATCAGAAATACCATTAAACTAAGAGACCCGGAAACAAAATCGGGTTATAACGTGAGTAAACAATTAATCTATATATGATATCATTAATAGAAACATTTGAATCAAAACTACATGTTATCAGTACTCAGGTTACAATATCCTAGAAAAATCTGATTTATCAAAATCTACGTGTTAGTTAATAGATGTTCTTATATATATGTAGGACTCTAAAGTGCGCTTTTTTCTCTCATTTAAATTAAAGCTTAAACAAATAAATGTTACATATTCCGACAATAATCGAATTTTGTATTTGTAATTTACAATAACGACTGTAAAGGGAGGTGTTCCCATTAGTGATAGACTGTGTGAATGGCAAACTACGCCAATTATCACAATATTTAATACGCCCGAATTGTTAAAAATTCATTTACAAGAAATATAGTATTTTGTGACACCTAAATTACCTTTTTAGCAATTATTACGTGGTCGGTCTTCTAAATTTAGAAACAATCACTTCAGCCTACCAGTAGATTATAATGCCTATCACATATGGTATACCTTAGAATACTAGATTTTGCAAAAGGACTATTTTTACATCTTATGTTCTTTAACGTTTTCAAAGCCCACGAACCTTACCCTATTGGTCCATCGCACTTTAGCTTGATTTACCACCGTACTTTAGCAAACAAACAACCATCGCACTTTAGCGTGAGACACCATCGCACTTTAGGGTAGACCATCGCACTATAGCGTGACCATCGCACTTTAGAGTACCATCGCACTTTAGAGTCTTACAGATACATAAAAAATCATCAATGATACCAGGCTTATAATTTTGTACTCCAGGCCAGACATTAAGTTTCTTTTTTATAATATAAATCCATACGATTTAATAAACCCATTGTAATAACATAAATGGTACCAATTTTAATGTAATTTTTATTGAAAATTTCGTGATTTATTTTTTCTTATGTGGCTCAGTTACGCAGAGTAAAGTTTAGATTATATTATTGATATTTTGAAATAAGTAATGGCTTGAACGGACTATGGGAGTTGGGATAAAAAGGTCAATCTAAGGTTGTCTGTGGAAGCACATAGCACCTATAAATGGAAATAACCGTTCGTTGCATGAGGAAAATATTACCGTTTTAAAGTCATATAAAACTTCCAATTTTACAAACAAGTTGAATATGATGGTTAAGTTTGAATATGAAATACGTGTACATAAGGCTACAACAATTCAATGTTAAGTTCTTTGGATTTTTTCATGAAAAAAAATATGGCAAGCGAGCGTATTTTTTTTTTTTTATTTTCTTTTCTTATTTTTTTTTGGGGGGGGGGGGGGGGTAAATATGCCATTTTTTAGGCGAAGAGAATTACATGGAGCGAGCGAGCGATTTTGATTTTAAATTTTATTCTTGTATATAACAAAATTATTCTTAGGATCAAAATGCTTGCTAGTTGCAGAGTTGTTCAAGGAATTGTTGTTAGGATTCCGGGCGCGGCATTTATTTTTATTTATTAAAAAGTCGCTTTGTCCAAAATTTGATATGGCAAAATCCAAAGAACGAAACATCAATTTGGTGTGGCCTAACCATGACATCCCTCGTTAGAAGTTCGGCAACCGCACAACGCAGGTGCAAAGGGGCAACCCGTTATGGAAGAAAAGGTAAACTAACGTTGAAAGAAGATAATATTAAGTAGAAGAAACGCATGGAAAATATATTTATATAAAAACAAATAAACATCACTCTATCATCTCACTATGTTTCACGTGCTCTATGATGATCTGTTGATTGTTATCAACGTCCTGGTCGGTAAACTCAGGAACAAAAACCTGAAAATTAATAAGCAACCAAGGTTTTTGATCATCAATCAATGGATACGGATTGGTAATAAATATAAAAACACGTTCTCAGAGGACTTTGTTTAGTATATATGCATGCATTGGTTCAATAATTTCCTTAACATAATAATCACCAGAAACTTGTTTTATATGATTTAAAGGAACTGCGATGAAAAAAAGTCAGTTTTCTTTTCATAATAAAAGTAATTTTGATACCTTAATTATCACAGGCGTTGTTACTTTTAAATATATGAGTGCAATTTTTAGTAGAAGTCCCGGTAAATTGAAGCTTTTGATAACGTAAAGTTTTAAAACAATATGAATAAAAAAAAGACGTGGAAAATATGTCAACAAGACAGCAAACAAATGACAAACCTAACAACAACAAAAAACGACTAGAGGTATACATACAGTCTGTAACAATGGAAAGCTATCTATACTAGTCAACCTCTAAATCGTTACGAATGACTATAGCAGCATATCATTATATATCTTTATTCTCAATAAAAACCAACATTTTGACAATGTTTATAATAATTAATAAAATACAATTAGTATGTAAGACATTTTGTCAACAAAAAATAAGGATGACTTCACTCTAGATTAAGTGATTTATTTATGATTTTGATAAATTTGCAAAGTTTAATAAGTTTTTCTTTCTTTTGGATGAAATCAATAATTTATAGTTTGAAATATTTGTGGTCTGGTGTAACTATATTTTTTGTATGATAACTTTTCTCTCCTGTTCAAAAATTGACATTCCAAGATAAAGTAAAACTCGTCCCCGATTTCATTTTTACTATACAGAGTACAGTTTTTGTTTTGTCTGTTGATGTTATATCATCTACCAGTTTCAATGGGTAATTTATGATTTGTTGTTCTAAATCTACCAAAATCTACAAGATGTTTGTTATCTAAAATATTTAAATAAACTTTTGAACTAAAATTATTATTAAATACTAAGAAATTTACAGCTTGGATGATTCTTCCAACAGTAAATGCCAATTCTGTTCAAATTGATCTTTAAGGTTTCTACTAACTGTCAGACGCAGCCAATTCAAATTCATAAAAGTTTGTGTATTACAAATATATGTTAAGCCACATTCATTTAGAAATTTTTTTTATGTGATCTAACCATAACAACCGATCTCCGTTCACATCTGACAACTGAAAACATAAGTTATAAACAATTTTGAACATTCTTGACACTTTTCCAGAAAGAAGTTGATAGATATAAGAAGATGTGGTATGAGTGCCAATGAGACAACTCTCCATCCAAGTCAAAATTTATAAAAGTAAACCATTATAGGTCACAGTACGGTCTTCAACACGGAGCCTTGGCTCACACCGAACAGTAAGCTATAAAGGACCCCAAAAATTTACTAGTGTAAAACCATTCAAACGGGAAAACCAACGATCTAATCTATATAAAAAACGAGAAACGAGAAACACTTATGAACCACATCAACAAACGACAACTACTGAACATCAGATTCCTGACTTAGGACAGGTGCAAACAAATGCAGCGGGTTTAAACGTTTTAATGGTACCAAACCTTCACCCTTTTTCTGAAACAATAGTGTAACATCACAACATAGAAAGACACACTATAAAATATCAACTGAAATAGCTTAACTCAATCAAAGGACATATTAACACCATTGAACATACACTGAACAAATAAATTTGACCTATGACACAATGTAAATACAAAACAAATAAACTAAGGGAAGAATAATAAAAGTAACATGTTATATCGGTAAGAAATGTTAAACAATTAAAGAAAAACAATATGCTCGAACAAAAATATCAGCCATTTGCAATAACTTTAAACACAGGTAAATGAAAATAATTTTGTTGTTAGGTATACGTGTACAGTACCAATAGAGAAAGGAAATATTTTTACAAAATAAATAATTTTGATGTTCATAGTACGAAGTGAAAATTTATAGTTATACCAAACACTTATCAAAGCTGGTATATAGACCAGATATAACCCTGAATAACATTAAATAACAAAAAAGCAATATAATAATGAGCCCAGAATGATATCATTGTACTTTTCGTGTCAATTTTTGGAGGATATCTCCCACGTTCACCATATATCATATACATTGTACGATGGTGTCGAAGATCTTAGAAGTAGCAGCAATTTACAAAATTTTCAGTGGATTTGTTCGATTATTTCATTACTACTGAAACCCCATATTTCAAACCCATACAGTAGGTTCTATCATCTTATCAAGTAATTCGAGCTGTGTTTTGATTGCAAGGCCGTGATTTATGCCTAATTTTAGGACCTCATAGAAAGCAGTAGTAGCTTTGTTGGCTATGGACTGATTCGCTCTCTTAAAGCTCCTATTTCTGTCCTATTCTATCCCTAAATAATTAAAACTATTCACTATTTATAGTTCTATTCCGTTCAATTAAAACTGAAGTTCATTAGAAATATAAGTCTAGAAAAAAATATGATTTTACTTTTATCAGCATTAACTTTCAATGTCCATATAGAGAACAATAATCTTGAAATGAGTCAAGTTGCTTTTGTAGCTCTGCTGGTGATTTTGCCATTAGCACAGTTTCATCAGCATATAAAATTACAAATAACTTTAAACATACTAAGTTCAGTTCAATTTCATTAGAAATTGTTTTCAGTCCATATATGATTTGCAGTTTGATAAATATGACTCAAGGTCGTTCATGAATAAGACAAAAAGAAAAGGGGACAAATTTTCCCCTTGACGTACACCGTTATTGCAAAAAAGGGGGGATTCTGGCTTAAATCAATATAAGAAATACATGACTTTGTATCGTTATACATATTTACAATTATATATATATACATGATACCATTCATATCATTCACTAGCAACTTATATCATAGTTCATCCCGCAAAAAAATTCAAAGTCAATAAATGCGCAAAACATTTTTTCTTTCTTGTTTTTTAGAATTCAAAAAACTTAAGAATTATAAAACAAATTATCAGTTTTTGAAAAGCCCTTACTAAATCTACATCTCAGGATAATATTTTAGTCGTCTGAAAAATCAACTTATCGCATACTAAAAATTGCAGTAAAGAGTTACCCAAGGCAACTCAGAATTGTAATTGGTCTACAATTTTGGGGTCCATTTTGTCACCTTTGTTTTTGAAAATCGGTCTTATATTTTCAATAAGCCAACTATCCGGGACAACGCCTGTTACGAAAATAATATTAATTAGTTGCT